ATCTTCGCTTTGCTGATGACATCGTCCTTATAACACCAAACATTACCTTGGTGGAACGTATGCTTGACGACTTTGACAAAGCCTGTGGAAAGATTGGTCTTCGACTAAATCTTACAAAAACGATGTTCATGAAGAACGGATTGGTTTCGCATGCCCCATTCACGCTAAAGGGAACGTATATCTCCGAATGCTCCAGTTATATCTATCTAGGTAGGGAAATCAATATGATGAACGACCTAGCTCCAGAGCTGAGCAGAAGAAAACGAGTGGTTTGATGAGCTTTCAAGAGCATCGAGGNGAAGGACAGCCATATGAGCAATCAGGATTTCGAAGAGGATTTAGTACGATGGACCACATCCACACGGTAACACGGCTTATTGAAGTATCGCGAGAGTACAAAAGACCGCTCTGTCTCACTTTCATCGAATTACAGAAGGCCTTTGATTCAGCTGAGATAGAAGCAGTCTTGGAAGTCCTTGACTGTCAAGGAGTCCCTACTCAGTACATAAAGATTTTTCGTGAGCTGTACAAAAATTTCACAACCAAGGTATCACCATTCTACAACGATATTAACATCGACGTCAAAAGAGGAGTTAGGCAAGGTGATGCCATCTCGCCAAAATTATTTACCGCCACCCTCTAGACCGTCATGCGAACATTGGAACGGGATAATATGGGAGTGAAAATCGATGGTCGGCAATTACACCATCTTCGCTTTGCTGATGACATCGTCCTTATAACACCAAACATTACCTTGGTGGAACGTATGCTTGACGACTTTGACAAAGCCTGTGGAAAGATTGGTCTTCGACTAAATCTTACAAAAACGATGTTCATGAAGAACGGATTGGTTTCGCATGCCCCATTCACGCTAAAGGGAACGTATATCTCCGAATGCTCCAGTTATATCTATCTAGGTCGGGAAATCAATATAGCGAACGACCTAGCTCCAGAGCTGAGCAGAAGAAAAGGAGCGACTTGGGGAGCTTTCAAGAGCATTGAGGATGTAGTGAAGAGAGCAAAGAACACCCGATTCCGTGCCCACCTTTTCGACTCAACGGTACTTCCTGCCCTAACGTATGCGTCAGAAACCTGGTCACTGCGTAAGCAGGATGAAAGGTCACTCAGCGTTATCGAACGCGCAGTCGAAAGGACGATGATAGGAGTATCCCGTTCCACACAAGTAAGGGATGAGATCCGAAGCTCCGATCTGCATCAACTATCAAAAATCAAAGATGCCGTTCTGTACGCCAAACAGTCGAAGATAGAGTGGACCGGACACATAATGCGTATGAATGACAACTGATGGACAACAGCCGTTAGTGACTGGATTCATCGGGATGTCAGACGTACTGCAGGAGACTACCGACCCGATGGTCAGAGTTCTTCACAATGAGTCTTGAAGAAAGATACGATGCTCTACGAGTTCCTAGAGCGAGCAGAACCCATTGGGCTACTCTTGCACGCGACAGGGAAAAATGGAAGATTTACTGGCGCCCGCTCGAGTCACTCGAAGATCAACGGGACTACAGGTGATACCCAGTTTCCATCTCTACTTACAATGCCTTTCAAGAAATTCATTGTTTGAAATGAGATGTGTAGACACTGACGTGGGTCGCCCAATCAGTCTCCTTGAGGAACTGCTGAAATAAGTTCATTAGAATTTCTCCGTTGGTGAATTTGCCAGGTACAAACAACACTTAAATTCTATGTGAGTAGATTCCCAGCAGTCATACATGACGAGAAATTAGACCCGCGTGGGTTCACATCGACCCATTTTCTTCGCGATCCTTCATTTTGCCGTAAAAACATCTTTCGTCCATTATATATTCAATCGACCACTTAATGCACTTATAGAGTATGTGACAAACAATATCCACCAAATCTGCTGGGGAAATACACGAAGAGAGCAAACTAGAGGGCGGAAAGCACAACAAAATGACCCGGTTGCTTGCTGTAGGGGTGTAATAGGGAGGAAATGAGTTGGCACCAACTCGTAGGGAAGCCGCTAAAGAAGCCAGGAGTCAACCAGTTGCACCGGAAATACGTGTTAAATTGTATTTGTGCAAATGTAGCCAAGTGCCACAGCTATTTTATATGGAATCAAACCTCAAATTAGTTTAGACAAAGAAAAAGAAAGTAAATGAAAATGTAGTGTAGATTGGAACCTTACGACCATGGTATTACAACACCCCATTACATTTGTGTTCGAAAAAAAAGGATACATCTGTGTCTTAACATTTTTTAAAACATTAAGTCATTTCCTGTGCAAGTTGCACTTCACTTTAGGCACTTCAGGAATACATGGCAAACGCGAAAAGTTAACAAGCAGAAATACAACGTTGCATCGAAACCTCTTTTTCAAACACGCCACTGTGGTATATGGGTGAGATCACTACCATATAAAAAATGCTAGAAAGCAATTCGCTAAAGAACTACACATCAATGATGACTAAGTCGAATAGTTACCACCGAAACAGTAGTACATCGACAAGTAAGGAAAACTGCTAAGAACTTCACAAGAGGGTCACAGACCACTACAAGAACTTACAATACCTTTTTCTCTGTTTTAAGCTCTATTGTCCCGTCTTCAAATTATCTTACAGTTCAGGAAGTCTTCACTTATTCTCCGTAAGGTCTTGCAACTTGCATGTACACGTTCACAAGGACAAGGAAGGAACACAGAATGATTGGACCAATTATTGCACCCTAAAATGATTATCTGTTGAATGATCTACATAACCTTTTAGTTAGCCTCTAGCCCTAAAACAATTTGATAACATAGAAATGGAAGGTGGAAAATCGATGTAGGTTGCTTTCGTAACATAAAGGAAGCTCGTTTGAAGATTTGAGTAGCGTTAACAGCTAGCTTTATTAACCCAGAGCCCGAAGATGGTTTCTCATAACTGATGGTAATTTCTCGACCACTAGAGTACATGAAGAACTAAGAACTTCGCATATTCACAAAAAATATTAGATTGTTCAGAAATAAATGAGCATTTTTAACTATATTATGTAAAACGTCATAATTTGATTCAAACAAAACTTTATTAACGAAAATAAGAAACGAGTCCACTCATTCCAGTTGCATAAAATTGTGGGGTTCTGGAAGCGATGAATTTGTTGGAGGCATTTTTCTGCGTCGTCGTGATCGGTGAAGCATTTCTCGCGCAGGAAGTTGTCATGGTACTTGAAGAAGTGAAGGTCGGTAGGCCAGAAATCTCGAGAATACGGCGGATGAGGCAAAATTTCGTAGCCCAGCTCGTTCAACTTCTACAGCTCTGGTTCCGCAATGTGAGGTCGAGAGTTGTCCTTGAGGATTGGTCCTTTTCTGTTGAAGAATGCTGGTCGATGTTGTTGGAATTTACAGTGCATTTCGTCGATTTGTTGGCAATACTTCTCTGCCGTAATCATTTCGTCTGGATTCAAAAAGGTGTGATGAATCAGCCGGGCTGCAGACCACCAAACAGCCACCGGAACCTTTTTGGTGCAATTTCTGTTTTGGGAAGCGCTGTGAAGCTTGATCGCATTCCAGGCATTAAGGTGAACGTCGTAGGCTGTCGTAAAGAATCCACTTCTCGTCGTATGTCACAATTCGATCAAGAGAAGGTCGTTTCTGCTGCGCAGAATAAGAGCAGGCGACACATAAGAATAGCGATTTTTTTTATCATTGTTTAATTCGTGCAGCATCCACTTGTCGAGTTTTTTGTCTTTCCTATGCGATTCAAGTGACTGCAAATTGTTCCTGTGCTTACGCCGAGCTGTTCTGCAAACTCTCGAACAATTGATCACGTGTTAGCTGCCATTAGTGCGTTCACTTCGTCGTCCTCAAGTTCATTAGGACATCCGCGGTCTTCCTTATCTTCGAGGTCGAAATTACCAGATCGGAATTTCCGGAACCATGTTCGTACTGCAGATTCGCCAACACTACCTTCACCTCAATCTTCATTAACATTTCAAGCCGTCTCTACTACATTACGGCCGAGTTTGAACTCAGAAAAAATTTGATGGAAATTCGCTTTTGAGATTTAAAACTATAAAACTCAAAAATAATGAAAAAAGTCCAATTTTCGGAAAAAAAGTAAAGACATTGTTAGAAAGAGCATAAAATCGGCTTTCTGATGTTATGCAACATTGCACGGTACAAAGGACATTTTGTTGGTAAAAAATGCATTAAACAATTAATATTTTAAAGCGCTCATTTATTTCTGAACAACCTAATACTTTGCTGTGTTGTCTAATCCTATTACTTCATTACATATAAGTATATATATATATATACTTGAATATATGCATATATGTACACATACATATGTATATATATGTACATACATACATATGTGTGTAAAATTTTTCTATAGAATACTCTTTCAGTTCTAAATATGTTCAGGATTTAAATTCCGAGAAATAAAACGGAATTAACTTTTAAGAACTCCAAATTTGGCAAAAGCCATTACAAACATCAGTGACATTTTGGAGAGCATAATCATATCGTGGTGACAAAATTCCACTTGTTCATTTGCATTCGTATCCCAAATAAGAGCCTTGACTCAAAAGCAGGAAGGACTATGTCTCGTGTGCTCCAGAAAATCAGCACTTCATTTTGCAGAATAGGAGAACCTTCGTTTCGTGAGTAAAGACCTATAGTCTCTAAAGGATCTCATTCGAACAAACAGAGTTCAGTGTGAACTAATATACGTTATCCTTGCTGAGCAATCTCAACAAGAATATAGAGAATTACTTGATCAATGCCGAGGTTAACGGAGAGTCGGTTGTGGGATTAATATACGTTGGTTTAAAGTTTAAAACGGCCATTGCTTTCGCAGCAAACGCATTATACTAAATATATGTGGGGCGTTACGTGTCAAATAGTAAAGTCAGAGCACATCATGGCCATGTAATTCTGAGAAGAAAGTATTATGAAGTGTCCTCATAATAATTTTAAAACGCTAAATCCCGACACACGGACACATTCAACCTTGACCCGGAGATAAAACACATTAATTAAACAAGTTTTTAAAAGAATAAGTATGACGTACTTGGAGTCCGAGCCAATATATGCCTCCGATAATTGCCAAACCAGTAACATAAGGATGAGAAAATCTGGAAAAGGAAAGGATAAGAAGTTGAGTTCTTTTTTTTGAGAAGGATACCTACTTGACTTCTCTGTAAAAAGTTACGTCGGCAAACATGTGTGGGGCGAATGATATTAGGGTGAACACAATTGCCACTGAAAGTTCGCCTCGCACCTAAAATTATAATAACTAGGACAACGTAATTTTTACAAAGGCAGAAGAACTTGAGAGCAATAACGACAAAGCGAATTCCCTTTGCTCAGTAAAACTCACTAGCCACAATTCGAAAATCCCCAATATACTGACAATGTAGGGTGGCATGATAGGAATCGCAGCAAATATGGCCGCAAGCGCTAAAAGAATTGGGATATGTGCATAAAAAACGATTTGGCAGAGAATCCAGGATTACAAATGAGTAACTCACTACAGGGGACAAAAACCACATTCAGATCGAAAAGACTGTGCACGAAATATGTGTACAGACCATAGAAAACAGCCATTTTCGAGGAGAGCACAAAGACACCACTAAACTTTTAGTTATAAAAGTGCTGAGAGTATAGGAAACATAACAGATCGATAAGATAGCAGTTACTGAGTAGAAGATACGGAAAGGAATATTTAAAAAACTAACGAAATTGCTTGCTCAATGGTATTCGTTAAGTCGTACTCTGTGACCGATATGCTAGACTTTACTGCGTTTGAAGTAACAGAAGCCATATTGGCTAGATTACTTATCCACTCAATGGGTAGCCACCTATCACGTGAAGCCGATAGAAGGTAGTATACCATCGTCAGAAATACGATCTATAGTATAAGCATAAATTACAAAAAGAGTAAACTACTACGTAACAATGCTGGGACTCACTATTTCAATGATCAGATTAATAATGTCCATCCCAAAATCAAAAATTAAGCCCGCAAGCGCGCCCATCAGCGAAAAAATGACGAAAAGGTTGACAGACACAACTGCCCATACAGAATGTGCTACCTATAAGAATGGAGAGAACAGTGGAAAAGTGAGCAGAACAGTGACAATAGAGAGAACATAGTAAGTCAATAAATAATGGACAGGAAATAATGAGTAGAGAATAAAAACTAAAAAATACAAACAATTAGAAAAAATAAAAAAGCAAATGTAATAAAACAATAAGTATAATATATACAATGATAAACAGTGACAAAGGAGATGACATAGAGAATCAATAAGCAATGTAATACTTACACCCATTAAAGTATCAAGGTTTTCTTTAATAATCAAGACGACTTCCTCTTTCAAGGCACTCAAGTTGGTGATAGACAACAACTGCGTTTTCCAATCTCCACGTGGCTCATTTGGATCTGTTTCTAAACGATAGGTGATATAATGAAGCGAAGAGGGAGTATAGCAGGTTAACACACCTTGTGGTGCATTATTCCTCTCTTCCCACATTTTATACAGATTATCAACAACCTGGAATAGAAACTTCGTCAAGTGATCTCAATTACCAATTTAAAAATAGACTTGTTAAAGCACTACTTGCAGTGATTTTCATTTCCTATACCTTCATCACTTGCGTCTCGAGCATATCAGCCCTAGCACTGTCTTCTGGACCTGCCAACGAGCGCACATTTGATGCCAGCCACGCACGACTTTGTTGATAAGCCTAATAAGAAAAAGACTAAGCAATGTTTTACAGCTAATGTATATCTAACCCTATATTCCAATTTCATCCTATTGGCTCTTAACAATAATTAGTAGACTATCCACTAGATGGGATGCGTATAGCACAGTGGTCGGAGGTGCCCTGCAATTCACATGAGATCGATCTCCCAGATTCAGGCTCACCAAACTTTCCTCCCCTCCGGGGTCGGCAAATTGGTACCAAACTTGACTGGGAGGATAGCATCACTGACTCGATACATCGGCAGCCCGCCCACCGCGAGTCATTGTAAAATACCAGATATGCATTCAATCACCTACAACGATGCTTGGTGAAGTCAAATGCACGGTGCATCTCTCAGGAACTGATCAACGCCGAGAGCTTTATCCTTTTTTTATTCCATCCAGTAGAAATTTTGAAAAGTGTGAATCCACTACCACTATTTCACATGAAACTAGTATTATTGCTTAAAAACCCACTAGCAAGATGGCTTCCGAAGAATTTTAAGTTTTTCTTCACCTGCAGCAATTCTTGAACATTAGTAGTAGAGCGATGATATACCTGTTCTATATATTGATCAATATTGATATCATGGTCTTCCAGTTGATCTTCTGTAAAAGTCATCGCAGTTCTAAGCCAGTCTGGGCGTGAGCTAACAACATTCGTAGAAAGCCGAATAATATGAACCTAAGGCATTCGAGGCTACATTCTCATTTAAAATATAACAGCTACATTGTGTTACAAGGCTAACCATTTCACTGTGGAGTTGAAAGCCGACGAATAATAACGCAAAAATTGCAGAAAACGCTATAAGACCCATTACCATTACAGAAGAAAGGACATCCATTTTTGAATGAAGGGACGACACCATCATTTGATCCGACGTAAACAGCATCTAAATGGAGACTACTGAAGCATAAACAGTGATGAAACTTGGAGATACAAAATTTTTCATCAAAATACTCCGACAGTAACTTCGCAGAAGACGGCCAGTGAAATTTAATGGAGACCTAGAACATATAAAAGCTTGATCTGTGAGTAACTAGTAGTCAGTACCTTAATAAATTGACGAAGGGATCCAGAAACCATGATATCGACGATTTTCTTTACATGAGGATACAAGCGATCCCCAATCGACAGGAATACAGCTTTTATACTCGAACACAAACCAACATTGGCTCCTTAATAATCACGAGATAGGCCACCCAATCAACAATGCATAAACGTGAACAACCACTTGAATACTTTTAAACATGTCACAACCAAAAACAAATTGGTCAATATTCACCTATTCTTCCAAAAGCGGCAAACATAAAAGGGATGAAGATGAGGATAAGCGCCCAGTCGTGACGTACCAGCCAGGATAACGCACACAAGCCGGCAATAATCAGAATGAGTGAGTCACTGCCAAGTGCTTTATCAATAGAAACCGCGGTAGTCAAACCTAAACAGACAGTTGGATATCTACAAAACAGTTCTAACGAAGCAACTACAAAAACCCTCCCGACGGTCTACCGTCTCGTCGTGGTTGGAAGGTGATCCTGGGTGTCGTGCTGCGATGTACACCGGAGAGATTCATCCTGCCAACAGGCTCTCCCAAGTTGAGAAGGAGTCCACCGTTTCCATCAGGAAGCCCAGCTAAGAGTAAACCAATACCAGGATCGACAACCGCCCTTGTATCAAACTAGCCGTATGGTGGAAAATCTCCCTTAGATCCACAAGTGCGGCGGCCGCCTGTGGTGGTGAGTGATAACGACGTGGGGCAGACTTTGGCCAGACTGAGCTCGAACTCCAGGGAATCACAATGGCTAAACCAGCAAGACTTCAAAAAGATGGAAATTTTGCTCAGGCCCACACAACCAGTAAGGAAGGGCCATCCAAATATCCAAGTATCCAAGTAACTGTAAAGACCAGTTATAAAATGTAGGAGAAAAGAGGTGAAATAACCGTCTATTTTGGGTGAACCGCTTTCATCCACACAATTAGCCTTTCCTTCCATGTCGCCTTCTGAAAATAGTAGACTTATCGAATCTCGAAACTTGTTTCAAAGAAAGAAATAACGATAGAAAGCAGCTGCACCTGAAACTTTCGACTCCTCCAAAATCCAAGCACCAGCTGACAGAAGAATCAGAACTGCTGCCGACGCTCCAAAGACAGCAGCTTTGAAAACGCCGAAATAAGAAGAGATATATGAAAGCGCGTATACCCTTAAAAGAAAATGTTTCATGAGAAGTGATGAGTATAGAACCAGTAACCCACCAAACAGGGACGGAAAACGCTCTCGCCACCTTTTTATTGACGGTTGTTCCCCCTTGAACGTAAATCCAAGAAGCGTATGCGCAGAAGTAAATTAACATCAAAGGAAATACCTTAGCACACATAGAATGCGATACCACTGTTGATGTGAAAGTAGTACTTCATAATCCGAAATCTCACCCACGAAGCCGAATAGAATACAATGAAATCATCAGTGAGACTATAAATACGCCCAACGAACGCAATGATGCACACAAATGTACGTTCGTATGTGAGTATCTTCAAGATGAAATATGCGACCAGAATTCGAAAACCCGTTGTGCTGAACAGAAAACAACATCTGCACAAGAAATGTTACACGCTATTAGTACTCTGAAACATAAATACCTAAGTAAAAAAAAGGATGAAGTTCTCGGCGTTGAACAATACCTGAGCCATGCATTCGACTTCATCAAGTATCGTTGGAGGTGAATGAATACATATCTGGACTTTACAATGACTCGCGGTGGCCTACCGATGTATTGGGCCAGTGCTGGTATCCTCCCAGACAAGTCTGGCACCAATTTGCCGACCCCGGAAGGATGGAAGGCTTGGTGAGCCTTGGGAGCGCGATCGATCCCATTTCAGGGCGCCCCCGACTATTGCGCTACACGCGCACCCAAAAACCTAAACAAATTAATGGGAACCAACATTCGTTGTTGCATTATTCAACTAACCTCATTGTGGTGGTATACACTTTCTCAGATAATTTCCTAAAAGTTGAAAGCGGCATAGTCAGCAACCCAACCGCCAATGTTCTGTTTGTTTGTTGAAGTTCGTCAAGCCAACCTTCAGTAAGCAATAACGTCGAAGGAATAAAATTTATTCATAAAGGGAACAAAGCGAAGAAGTAAGAGCAGTAAAAGAGCGCCCTTAATTTATCTTAATACCTTGGACGATGCCGGTAACGGTCTTCTTGAACGGAAACAACACTGTTCCAACGAGGACGGCCCACATCATCGGTGATAAAAACATGTACATCATCTTGTAAAGAGCAAACAGCCCACAGAGACACACACCAGTCTGCAAGACAATTTGAAATGTTATTATTCAACAAAATTATGTTTCCATTGAATATTCGGCCACTTGGAAACTTGGACACTTAGATTGCCCGTCTTCAATGGTTGTGCCGGCCCCATCATAATTTCTATTGTTTCGGAGTTTTGCTGGTCTACACATTATGGTTCTCTGGAGCTCTAAGGTTAGAATGGGCAAAGTCTGCCCCAGGTCTTCACCACCACAGGCAGTCGCAGCCCTTGTGGATCAGAAGGAGATTTGTCACCATGCTACTTTGATATCCTGACGGTGGATCTTTGTATTGGTTTACTTTTAGCTAGGCTTCCTGATGGAAACGCCGGACTCATTCTCAGCTTGGGAGACCCTGCCAGGGGATGAATCACCCGCTGTACATCGCAGCCCGACACCCAGGAACATCTCCCAGACACGATAAGGCGGTAAACCATTGGGAGGTTCACGCCACTAACATAGTTAAATTACACTTTCCAAAACTGACACCTTCATTTAGCTTTGGCATGAACAATACTTCCTTCTTTATCGATGAAATTACAGAAACGTTGGACTGAAACGGTGTCGAAGAAAAAGACCACCTTATTCACTGTATTCCTACTGACCAGAAATGAAAACTTTACGATTCAGAAAACCGAGAAAGGCCAAACGAATCGGCGAAACTCACCAAGACAAGCAAAAGAGTGTTGAAGACGGCGAACTGAAGAGCAATCTGTTGGTCTTCGCTGGCGGTGAAGCTTTTAATCAAGTTGGTTGAGGAGCTTTCCGTAGCCATAGTTTGTTCCTAAAGAAAAGTACCTAACTCTACTATGTATTAAGGATGGAGAATAAGAACTACTAAAGATAAAGGCGTTTACATTCTCAAGGATGTCAGTAAATGGCTGCAAGCTCCATTTCAGCTCTTTTGCAAGTACTACGAGAAAAAAAGAAAGGAAAGAAAGATGAAGACGAACAACATGAATGATGAAAATATGGAGAGAAGAACGATAGTGATATGAGAAGAATGTATTCAGTAGCGAATGACTCACTACACAAGAGACGGCATGTTTGCTGGTCTTCTGTGCATTCATAATGAAAAATACATGTAGAATACAAAAACACTTCAAAAGGAAACAAATGAAGAAAAAGGAGCTCTCTGATTTCCTCCAGGTAATATCAAGACAAGGATGAAGTGAAGAAGAGCATGAAGTCGTCTCTAATACGGCCGCACGAGGCACTTCACGACAGGTTGCCAAAAAATCAATAATCATACTGAGCGCTATGTTTGAGCTTTCGTACGCAGCTGCTGCTAGTACTGGGTAGGTGGGGGACTTTGTGAGTTTTTTCCGACTCTGCTTCCAGGGGATGAGAGCAAACGGATATATATTGAATTAGGTCACACGAGATGCTAACCTATTCTTTATCCCGGTAAAGCTGACGTTTTGGCAGTACCGTCTTCCTCAGAGCCCGGAAGAGTAGTATGGATAAAAGGATAAAAGGATAAAGCTCTCGGCATTGATCAATCCCTGAGGGATGCGCCATGCAATCGTCTTCATTAAGCATTGTTGAAGCTGATTGAATGCAAATCTGGCCTTTACAATGACTCGCGGTGGCCTACCGATGTATCAAGTCAGTGCTGCTAATCCTCCCAGACAAGTCTGGTACTAATTTGTCGAACCCGGAGGGATGGAAGGCTTGGTGGGCCATGGACGCGGGGTTCAATTCTACATGTGGGTCGCAGTGGCGCCTCCAACCACTGCGCCACACGCCTTATTTGGATACGCTGTTTATTAAGCCAAATGCATAAATATTATTTATTACTAGCATTATTGATTATCAAAACATTTGGCGTAACAAATTGCGTCTCCATATAACCCTTCCGGGCTCTGAGGAAGGCAAAATCTGTCGAAACGTCAGCATTACAGTCAATAGACAACAAAGTAACACCTTGTGTTTGTTCAACAAGAATATAGGGAATTATTCGTCCAATGTCAAGGTTAACAGAAAGTCGGCTTTGGAAATCTAAGGACAACTGGGTCCGGGGGTCTTGGCTTTCGGAAATGAGATCAGGTCACTCTACTGTGGTACTGTAGCACTGTACTCTAACAATGTTCAGGCACTAAGAGATCATAGAGCCTTAATTGTGCTGCCGCGCTATTGTCCTTTCCGGGGAGTAACGAGTTCACCACCACACCATGCGGGTCCTTCGTTTCGCTTGTCTCTCAGCTATTTCTATCGATCTTTGCCGCAGCAATCACCCGTCAGCGGGATTGATCTGGGGCGCCCAAATCGGCATAGAACCCAGTTAAGGTGCGGCTGTAGTTGAAATCACAATGTTATACCTTTTTATTTTCTGCCTACTATAATTTCGTGGCAGGGATACTTAGTAACCAATTTTCTTCGGTTTAGTTACCTCTTGTGATCTGTTACGTAACTTTTTCCCCTGTAGATGAATGTTGTATTCGTTATCTGAGCAGAACCATTTACATTCATCTTCGAAGATTCCATCATAGGATTACTTCCAACGTTTTGTCTGGCGGTATGCATCGAATTCAATGCATATGACTTCTTATTCCCTTCTACAACGGAGACTTCTTAGTATCCTCCTGTGAGTCAATCTTTAATGCTAGTTTATCCGTACAGTGAGCAACAAATCGGCGCTGTAGTCTTGGAGATGGACAAATTCGTTTGTTTTTTTCTTGTAAATTATACTCTGCAGAAAACATCGTTCCTCGGTTCAAACGCGATACATCATCTGTGGTTGGTATGCTATCGGTTTAACAGATTCGTGACAATGCTGACCACTTGAAAACTGGAGTAAATCGGAACCCGTAGTTAATGAAGTCATGGAACTTTGTCCCATCGATGTTATGGCCTACATAACCTTAAAAAAACTCTCGGCGTTGTTCAATCCCTTCAGGATGCGCCATGCATTCGACTTCATTAAGCGTAGTTGGAGGTGACCGAATGCATATCTGGCCCTTACAACGACTCGCAGTGGCCTACCGGTGTATCGAGCACAGTGCTGCTATCCTCCGAGACAATTCTGGTACCAATTTGCCGACTCCAAAGGGATGGAAGGCTTGGTGGGCTATGGGCGCGGGGATCGATTCCACGTGTGTCGCAGTGGCGCCTCCAACCACTGTGCTACACGCGTCCCTCACATAACCTTTACAAAGAATTGTTTCCATTTTGAAATTGCTTAAAGTTGAAATTTTTCGGGCATTTTTTTCAAATATTCCAAAGATGTCGGGAGAAATTCGGTTTTAGATGTCCAGAGGAAGTCGAGCAACAGTAAACACAGTGAGGATTTAGGGGCACCTTTGCATTCCTATGGATAAAAGGCCACTTTTTCAGTCGCTTCGCTGCTCATGTTGCGAACTTAGTTGAAAAAGAAAGCAGAAACAACTGGTGGACTCAGGAATAATAGAATTCCATCGCAGTAGAACAAAAAGCGTGAATCCCGTTCCGAAAAGTCTCCAGATTCCAATGCTCTTTGCTTTATTGCTGATCAAGTTTATAGGGGGTTGCTCGTCAATTTTTTTTTCATTATGGCCAATGTTTCAACTTTATCGTCTTCATTAGAACCGAATGGTCCTAGTCGTGTGTCAAAAGCGGTTGGTTTTAGTGATATGGGTCTTCTTGGTCGCTTCGAGCCTGACCGAGAGGAGTGGGACATCTTGCAAATGAAGCGGCCTTACCCAATAGTGCCCTTTCAGTAATATACTAAAAAAGGATAAAGCTCTCAACATTGATCAATCGCTGAGGAATATGCTATGCATTCGACTTCAATAAGCATTGTTAGAGGTGACTAGTGCAGATCTGATCGCTGGAATAACTCGCGGTGACCTACCGATGTATCAACTCAGTGCTGCAATCCTCCCAGACGGGTCTGACATGAATTCGCGGATCTCAGAGGATTGGAAGGCTTGGTGAGTCTGGCGCTCGGGATCGATCCCAAGTGAATTGCAGGGCGCCCGTAGCCACTGCGCTTCACGCGACCCTTGACTATCAATTCATGATGTTCACTATGAGATGAGATATGTTTGCTTTGAATTGAAATGGAAAGTTGTTTTCAGCAACTTATGAGCAAATCATCGTATCACTCATATCATCCACAATCACATGTGAAATATACCGCAGAAAAAGTTTCTACCGCGAAAGAAACGGTGAGGATATGCGATGAATTGAATGGATATTACACAAATTGACCATCTGCGTATGCATTGTAGTCAATGCACGTGATTGCTTATTTCCGAATGAAGCGAGTTCCGTTGACCCATCCGCTTGTGTAATCCTGTGTGCTCCTCTTAGGGATCGACGCTATTTTAACTTTCTCAGTAGCAGTTCTCAACTGTACTTTACTAAACCAAAAAAATACAAATGCCTGAGAAGTGAAATTCGATAGTAGAACATAGGCCGAGTTCATAAAATACAATGTTTTCATCCGTCAACAACACTATTGGAACGAAGGCGTTACGAGGGAATTCGGTGGTAGAAGGACGTCAGAAAAGAAAGAAGGTTGTTTTCTAAACTTTGCTATCATTTTTCCATTTTCCAATCGGTTAATCATTATGACGCATCTTTATGGGCACAGAAGGAAATGAACACAACAAAAAAACTTCAGAGCAGAAAGTTTCACATCCACTTCAAACGACGCCGTCATCATACAGAGGCCATTTGCAAACGATTTTGTTGCACTTCAAAACCTGTACATAGCGGCTTGGCTTTGAAGCCGAGTTAGTACTTATTAATGTGAGTTTCTACTGACCTGGTACATTACCACTCTTGTGAACAATTGCATTAAATGCCTGTATTACATTTAAACCATCGAATAAATCGAGCGCGCTCCAACAGCCCCATTATTACCTGTCGCTAGATTCAGCAAGCTTCATACGCTCAACCGATGCACCTAACATTTCCGTATTATTCCGGCTCATTTTTACCATTTTTGTCAGAAGTAAAGCATAGTTTGCTCA